CTGCCTCAGCCTCCTGAGTAGCTGGGATTACAGGCACCCACCACTGTACCTGGCTAATTTTTGTATTTTTATTAGAGATGGGGTTTCACCATATTGGCCAGGCTGGTCTTGAACTCCTGACCTCATGATCTGCCCGCCTTGGCCTCCCAAAGTGCTGGGATTACAGGTGTGAGCCACCGTGCCTGGCCTTAATTTTTATTTTTATTTCTTTTTTTGAGATAGAGTCTTTCTGTGTTACCTAGGCTGCAGTGCAGTGGCATGATGACTCACTGCAACCTCCGTCAAATTGAGGCGATTCTCCTGCCTCAGCCTTCTGAGTAGCTGGGACTACACATCCGGCTCACTTTTGTATTTGGGGTAGAGATAGGGTTTCACCATGTTGGCCATGCTGGTCTGGAACTCCTGACCTTAAGTGATCCACCCACCTCGGCCTCCCAAAGTGCTGGGATTACAGATGTGAGCCACTGCACCCAGCCAATAAGAGGATTTCAGACCAACTGGGAAGTCCCAAAGCCATCTCCAGCAAGGACTCTAGCTGAGGCAGGAGAGGGTGCAGGGCAGGTGAGAACCGGGTAAATTTCCAAGTAAAAAGAAAAGAGAAAACTTGACACGAGAAGACACAATGGGAGTAGAGGGCAGGGACCAGGTGTCCAGATGGCCATCCTGACTCAGAAATGGCTGCTGGGTCGACAGGATGGCCTACAAGATGGGCACACACCCTCCTACAATTTTGGCCCTGAAAACTCAGAGGGCAAAAAGAAACACGGGGACTCACACCAGCGAGCCTGCAGGATGAGGCTGGAAGTCTGAGTTTAGAGCATTTCCTCTGGACTGCTCCAGCCACTCCTCACATTGTGTCTTTGCTCAAGGTTACCTACACTTCTGCCTCTCTCTCCAGGAGGATGGGATCCATGGCTGAGTCCTTAAGCCCTCAGGCTATACAGCGCTTAGGTGCTAGGAGATGCTCAGTACAAACCTACTGCATGAGGCTGGCCACGGTGGCACACGCCTGTAGTCCCAGCACTTTGGGAGGCTGAGGCAGGCGGATCGCTTGAGGCCAGGACTTTGAGACCAGCCTGGCCAACATGGTGAAACGCTGCCTCTACTAAAAATACAAAAATTAGCTGGGCATGGTGGTGCACACCTATAATCCCAGATACTCGGGAGGCTGAGGCAGGAGCATCATTTGAACCTGGGAGGCAGAGGTTGCAGTGAGCTGAGATCGTGCCACTGCACTCCAACCTGGGCAACAGAGCAAGACCTTGTCTCAAAAAACCAAAATAGGCTGGGCATGGTAGCTCACACCTGTAATTCCAGCACTTTGGGAGGTGAGGCGGGCGGATCACTTGAGGACAGGAGTTAGAAACCAGCCTGGCCAACATGGTGAAACCTCGTCTGTACTAAAAATACAAAAATTGGCTGGGCATGGTGGCGGGTGCCTGTAATCCCAGCTACTTGGGAGGCTGAGGCAGGAGAACTGCTTGAACCCAGGAAGTGGAGGTTGTAGTGAGCCGGGATGGCGCCACTGCACTCCAGCCTGGAGGACAAGAGTGAGACTTCCTCTCAAATAAATAAATAAATAAATAAGAATTTAAAAAATATTATAAAATAAAAACACATGAAATAAGTGATCGAGTGGATGAACAAATAGGTTAATCTGCGGGTAATCTTTTGCAGACGTTTGCCTGTGGCCAGGAAGAAGCCCTGGTTCACAGGCGCAGACTAGGAGGCAAGAGCAAGGAAGAACGGGGCCAAGGTGTCTTCCCTACTCTCTGGCCCGCCCAGGCTACTGATTTCTGAATTCCGAAAAAGCCTACCATTTAGGATATGATAAATCACCAGGAAAAGGTAGGTGAGTTATTTGCATCATCGATCATGAAATTTCAGTCCTCCCTTCCCTGGGTAGCCCGGTCTTGGGTCCTACCTCACTTGCCTTTTAGCTAAATTCAAGTTTAAGCAGCCACCACAGGCTGTCCACCAGGGGGCAGGAGAGGGCCGCGACTGAGGACACAGCAGCCTGTCTGCAGGAGCCCCGTGCCCAACAGGACCCGACTCCTAATGCGGCAGCAGGAACTGATGCACCATCCGTGTAATACAACATGTTGCATGAAGCCTGGTACATACAGTAAGTGCCTGGTCCCCTCGGGCCTGTCACTGGTTCTGTCCCCAGAGAGGCAGCCTGTCCCCTGGGGTGGCCAAACTCAACACCAGGCCCTGCATCTGGGCACAGCGGCCATGCAGAGGGCCCTGAGCTCTGCGGGCAGCACCTACCGCTCTGTTGATGTGCTTCCGGACCAGGAGGTACAGCAGGGGCAGCAGGACATATGCCAGGATCTCCCACAGCTTCCCCGTCAGCAGCATCCACAGGAGGTGGTCCTCAGCCTCCAGGTCGATCCAGCACCAGCCCACAGACACATCTGAGGCGTCATAGCCGATCTTCTTCAGGGCGACAGCTGCCACAGTGATGACCAGCGGGACTCCCCAGCTGAGGAAGGAGGAGAGGAAGAGGCACCGGGGTCAGGCCACGGCTCCTGTTAATGTCAGCTCTCACAAAAATGACGAAGGACGCCCTTCAGAAAGGGGATGGTGCTCTCCGGAGCCTGGATGGCACAGTGTCCCTGGAAAATAAGAAGCGGTAGGTGTTGCCCCAGGAGCCTGGCTCTAATTTAGAATTCTGTGGTTCTTCAGGGACTGGCACTAGAATGGAGTGAGCTCTACAATGGAGCCAGCTCCCAGTGTGTGCCCAGCTCCTTCTGCACCAGGCTTGGGCACCAGCATGTGAACATCTGTCCATGCTCATGCAAACGTGCCACAAACGATCAGTGTCCCCCGGCCAGCCCTTGGGTCTAGGGGTGCACACATCGGGGGCTTAGGGTTGGTTGCCTGGGAGGAGGGTTCCAGGGTCCTGCTTAACTTCTACAGGCTCTAGAAGGGCGAACGTAGGCTTTGTGCAGCATGTCCCCTCAGCCCTGAGGACTTCTTGTGCAATGGGTGGGGAATGGAACCTGGTAAGGGTCAAAGGGGACCTTTGAAAGCATAAAGCTCAGGTAGCGGCCCCTCTGAGTGCCATGTTGGGCTGTTTTTCCTTTTTTTGAGATGGAATCTCACTTTGCCACCCAGGCTGGAGTGCAATGACACAATCTCAGCTCACTGCAACCTCCACCTCCTGGGTTCAAGTGATTCTCCTGCCTCAGTCTCCCAAGGTGCTGGGATTACAGGCCTAAGCCACCATGCCTGGCCTAACTTTTGTATTTTCAGTAAAGATGGGGTTTCATCATGTTGGCCAGGCTGGTCTCGAACTCCTGACCTCAAGTGATCCACCCACCTCAGCCTCCCAAAGTGCTGGGATTACAGGCATGAGCCACCACACCCAGCCCGGGCTGCTTTCTAGAGCTCTCTCCCAGCCACACAGCCAGGAGTAGGCCCCCTCCCTGTGGTCCTGGAACCGGTCTGTTCCTTCCACAGCAGTGGGGCACACAAAGGCTATGGTAGCTCCTGAGAGAGGCCGCCAGTGGGGAGGTAAGAGCTTGGATTTTAGTGTGTGGACTGGATCGGAGTCCCGGCTCTGCCCCTGCAAGTTATTTAGCTTCAACACGCCAGGTTCTCTGCAAAGCATGGATGACGACAGTGACTGCCGGGTGAGTCGTTATGAGAATAAACAAATACATGTGTGTACCGGGCGCAAGGCTAGGCAGGCGTGTGAGTGTTCGCTGCTGTCAGGACTGTTGAGTCTCATCCTGCTGTCCCAGGGTTCAGGCCTGTGGTGCAGACACTGGGGCTGCGTGGGGCCCATGTGGTTTCTGTCCCCAGGAAGAGGACACAAGTATCGCTGTCCTAGGTCAGTCGCCTGGAGGGCAAAGCCTTAGGTAAATGGGAATGATACCATCGGAGCCATCAGGAAACTGGTTCGGAAATGGATTATCTGTTGCGAGCTCTGTGTTGGGGTACTGGCTCTTTCTGAAGGGAAGTCAGAGACCAACTATAAGATTAAAGTTCAATGTGAATCTGAGGCCAGGGGAACTGTGCTTCAAGGGGTTGTCCCAAATGCTGCAGGGCTGGCAGAGGAGGCCAGGCAGGGATGAGGCTGGGAGGCGAAAGTCAGCTCCCCAGGACCGGGAAGGCCTCATGCGGATGCTTCCAGAACAGAGGGCCCTGGCCAACCATACCCTCTGCAGTGTTCTCCAGTCCCCACTGGCCTCTTTAGGGAGAGGCAGGAGTGCTGACGGCAGAGTCACGTCACGCTCAGTGGCCTAAGTGGCAGGAGGTAGTGTGTCCTGTTTGAAGTCACAAAGACACAAAAAGACCACAAAAGCCCTGGTGAGGTGGCTCACACCTGTAATCCCAGCACTTTGGGAGGCCAAGGCGGGCAGATCACTTGAGGTCAGGAGTTCGAGACCAGCCTGGCCAACATGGTGAAACTCCATCTCTACTGAAAATACAAAAATTAGCCAGGTGTGGTGGCGCATGCCTGTAATCCCAGCTACTCAGCAGCCTGAGGCAAGAGAATTTCTTGAACCTCAGAGGCAGAGGTTGCGTGAGCCGAGATCTCGCCACTGCACTCCAACCTGGGTGACAAAGCAAGACTCTGTCTTAAGAAAATCCACAAAAGGTAATAAAGGGTTGTTTTAAAACTCACGATGGGCTGGGTGAGGCGGCTCATGCCTGAATCCCAGCACTTTGGGAAGCCGAGATGGGTGGATCACCTGAGGTCAGAAGTTTGAGGCCAGCCTGGCCAACATGGTGAAACTCCATCTTTACTAAAAATACAAAAATTAGCTGGGCATGGTGGCACGTCCCTGCAATCCCAGCTACTCAGGAGGCTGAGGCAGAACAATCCCTTGAACCCAGGAGGCAGAGGCTGCAGTGAGCCTAGATTGCACCACTGCACTCTAGCCTGGATGACAAAGTGAGACTCTGTCTCAAAGAAAGGAGGTAAGCGGCTTTTAAAGTGCCATGATGCCAAAGCTCCAGTCATAATGTGCTGTTCCTTGTTATTTTACAGTTGCAGGATTCTGCTAAGGAATTCTGGGAAAGGGGAGAGCACTGTCTGTAGGAACAGTCTCCCTGGAGAAGGATGGTCTGGAGCTGGGGCTCACTCACATAGGGGATTTCCCTCTGAGTTAGGCCTGGGAGGTCACGGTCTGCACAGCACTCCCTTGGGCTCCCTCTGCATCCCGATAGCCTTACGGGAAACCGGGGGACCACACAGACCTGCAGTCTGTAACTGGAGGCTTGCAGTACTAAAGCTACAAAGCAGATTTCCTCTGTGACACTGAATCTGTGCTGGGAAATAACCAAAGGGAAGGTCAAACAGGCAGAGGGTTTTGAAAGGGTTAAGAATGTGGGTTTAAATTAGCTGGGTATGGGGGTGCACACCTATGATCCCAGCTACTCAGGAGGCCGAGGGAGGAGAATCATTTGAACCCGGGAGGTGGAGGTTGCAGTGAGCCCAGACTGTGCCAGTGCACTCCAGCCTGGGTGACAGAATGAGACCCGTCTCAAAAAAAAAAAAAAAAAAATGTGGGCCTGATCAACAGGGAGAGGTTGTTTGAACACACAGAAGGAGCAGCTGTGTGAGGGCCAGAAGCTGCCAGGCAGATATTTAAGTGAGAGGAAGTAAGAGGTAGAATCAGGGAGCCGGTGGGAGTGGAGGGGGTCTGATGATCCTGCAAAGCAAGCTGGGCCAGATTCACTCACTTACAGGCATGGACAGAGGTGTGTTGGGAACGTTTCACAACTGGCTCTCCAGAAAAACGCAGATGTCTGCACGTGTGGGTGTACACACGCATACACACGCACATATAAATGTATAAATTTCACCCGCAGGATGTGAAGTGCACAAGTTATAAATAATAATAAAGTACACAATAATAATACTCCCTCCTTATTGTCCATTCCGTGCTGCCAATTGATTCTCACAGAATGCTTTTGTTGATTTCAGCCAAACCCTGAATTTTGGCAACCTGTGGTTGCAATCAGCAAATGACAGCCTCTCCATGGCATGAAGTTAATTGATGCTTTCATTTCCCTTAACGAGATGGAAATGAAATAAGGAAGAAATAGAAAACAAGATGTATGTTGGTTGCTCGTGTCACAAGTTGCTGGTGACATGATCAACTTCTTTGCTGAATCAGGTACGAGTTTTTCCCCCCAACACTGGGAGGGTGTTTCCTTAATTTTTTTCTGCTCCGTGACACTGTCTCTTCTCCTTACCTCTTCTTTACATACTGGGTTTTCTGGCTGCCCCAACACAGCTGCCATCACTGCTGAAGCTCAGAGATAAGGAACACTTAAGTTTAATCTATACCTTTAGCGTCTTCTCCATTACTTTCTTAAGTCTACATCAGGGGTCCAGCAAACTATGGCTCTCAGACCAAATCTGGCTCACAGTTTCTTACAGATAAAGTTTTATTGCAACACAGCCACACCCAGTCATTTACAGATTGTCTACCACTACTTTCAGACAGAGTTGAGGAGTTACATACAACTGAGACCGCGTGGCCCACACAACTGAAACACTTACTTTACAGGAAAACTTGGCTGACCTCAGCTCTATACAATCAATGAAACAATAAATCAAGCCCTGATTTGTTGTCTTTGCCAACTTCCATCTACAAATACTTCCACCATGGCCATTCCGCCCACCAACACATATAGCCGGGAACAGATGCACAGTAGCACACCATTATATAGTATTTCCACCACACAGATATGACAGATGCAACAACCACAAGTATGCAAAACAGCTATGACACAATGAGCTTTGAATATTTACGGTTTTTTTTTAAGTTTTAAAATTTTATTATTTTAGAGACAAGCTCTTGCTCTGTTGCCTGGACTGGAGTGCAGTGGTGCAGTCATGGCTCACTGAAGCCTCCAAATCTTGGACTCAAGCAATCCTCTCACCTCAGCCTCCAGAGTGGCGGGTACTACAGACACATGCTACCATGTCCGGCTTATTTTTTGCTTTTTGTAGAGACAAGATCTTGCTTTATTGCCCAGGCTGGTCTTGGAACTCCTGGCTTCAAGTGATCTTCTCACTGTGGCCTCTCAAAGTGCTGGGATTATAGACATGAACCACCATGCCAGGTCTAGTGTTTTTTAAGATGGGATCTCACTATGTGTTCTCAAGTAATCCTCCAGTCTGTCTCCCAAGGAGCCGGGACTACAGGCATGCACCCCATGCCCAGCTCTGTTTTTAATAGAATTTATTTTTTAATAATGGTCATATCTAACAAGCAGCTCACAGAATTCCCTAAAATATAACAATTGGGTCTTTCAAGCTGGCTCCAGGGCACCAGCAGACATAGGGTAAAAACAACAGGAGCAGACGGTGCCCCAGGCTCCTGACTACAGGGTGAGGAGAAGGCTGGTGTGTCTGGAACTCTCAGAAGGATAAACAGATCAGTTCCCCAGCCAGGGGGCCACCCTGAGCTGCAGGTGCTCTAAATCTGATAGGTGATCCACAGACACGTGTGTGGCGTA